TTGAAGAAGACTGGATATACTGTGGAGATTGCCTGAGACAAGAATAGAAAATCAAGTGAAATATTACTGAGTGTTCAGCATGGTGGGCCCTTAGAAACTAGGAAATTTTTCTGAACTTATATATTTCTCTACTGTCTTGGTTACTTTTCTCTTGTTGCTGAGACAAAATACCTGATACCCCAAATTAAGACATACACCAATTTCATGTATGTCTTCCTGGCTATTGGGCTTCTACTACCATGGCTTCTTCTGTAGCGCAGATTTTCTCCACAGTATGTTGGTTTTGGTCCAACTCTTCATTAATTTTACCTCTTCCTTTCTTGTGCGTTCCCTGTGGCCTCTACAGTAACACAAATGAGACTCCTCTACACTATCATTTCGTGTGCTCTCAACACCCAACTTTCCCTGCACCCTGATGGCTCATCCTACATCCTCCAAAACTACTCAGTGTGTTGGTTTTACCTCATCTCTCTTCCCTTTCAACATTCTCTTCTCTTTGTCTGAGCCATAAGTACTTCTTCAGAAAAACTATGGATTCCCTGGAAGGCAAGAATCTCTTTATTCCAATATCCATTGGCTGACATCATAGTTCACACACTGTAGGCCTCCATAAATATTTGCTAAATAAATCAAGTAAGAATTCCCATCTCTCCCAGGCAGAACATTCCTGACTAGTGGGAAGAAAATAAGTATATTTTCCTTTATTCCTTTGCTGGTGAATTTGCAGCTCCTTGACTTCTCTTGCTGTGGCACAATATGGTGCTCTCTTTGAATTTAATATCAGTCTTGTGTAGCTAGGGCCCTGAGAGGTGATCCTTAGGTGAGAGGAGCAGAGGAGGCTGGGCTTTCCTGTATTCACCTTTCTCCACTGTTAGGGTTTGTATCTTGTTGTCCCCCGAGAGCCTCTCGCAGTCATGGGGAAGACAGCTGTGATTAATTCATGATCTAATGCTGGGATTATGGGTGTGAGAGCCACGCATGCCCTGGGGCAGATATCCTGGATGCAACATAAGGAAGGGAGAGAGGCTTGTCTCTACCCCTTCTGCTGCTGCCTGCTGGTGCTCCTACCATTTGCTCTTGCTGCTTTTGCTGTTTTCCACATGAACTGCTGCCCTCTGCCATGTGCCACTCTGCTTTGGAGCCAGGCAAGTATGGACTGAAACCTCCACCAACTGTTAGCTAAATAAACCTTTCCTCCCTTCATTTTGGATGTTGGGTATTATGCCCCAGCAATGAGTGAAAAGTACTGAGACATCTTGTCTCCAGACAATACCAATAATGCACCATCTTGAGTTAAATCCTCAGCTTGGCTTTGCATTTTCACCTTAAGGCAAGGTACTTCTTCTTCCAAAGAAATGTTGAAATTATTCTTTATTACAGGATTTATATTTGATCCAGGTAATTAGTAAGTTTAACATATTTAATAAGTGCTTGTATGGCACTTGCTAAATGCCAGGCACTGTTCGGAGCATTTTAATTACATTAACTAGTTCTGCATTGCAGCCTTGCCAAGTAGATATGACTATAGCCATCAGCTTTGTATTATAGATGGGGACAGAAGGACACAGAATGACTAGGAACTTGCCCAAGGTCACATAGGGATTGGTGACTAAACTGGAATTTGAAATGTGCAGGCTCCCTCTGGGCCCATGGTCCTCACCACTGTGCCAGTGCTTGTCAGTGTGCTCAGGGGCCAGCTGGTGCTGCATAGCTGTGCCCCTCACCTATAAATTGACTTTGTCTTCAGAAATGCCAAGAGCAGGAAGTCTCCTTGACTTCTGTTAAGCAACATATGACTGTGTTCCTCATAACTGTTTCCAAGCTCATTGATTCATTAACTGTGTCTCGAATGCAAGATTCTTTGTGTCATTTTTGCAGTTAATTGTTCACGTTCTAATCAATGCCAGGCCTAAGATTTGTCTCCACAAAATGTATTTTCAACTAACCTAGGAACCATGCCAGGAATTCACTCTAATTACACAGTATACCAATTTTGAGTGCTAGAGACGACTTGAAGGCAAAATATGTGTTTTTAAAAATTATTCAATTTATAGTAAATAAATGGGATTCGGCTCAAAAAGGAAAAAGATGAAGTTGCATGTTCTGCTTTCTGTATTGCCTTTTCTAGGTGTCTAGGATAATGTGGATTTTTTTTTTCTCATGAGCTCTAGATTTTTACAGGGTTGATATGGATTTTTTAGCTGCCTGCAAACAACCACTTAACCACTTACTGTTTAGCAAAAAAAAAAAAAAAAAAAAAAAAATCAGATTCAAACCCTACTCTGTGTGTTCACATACATTGTGTGGAACAAACATGAACATCTGGGCGGAGCTGCTACTTTGGCTCAGGAGTTACCCAGAACATAGTGTTTGGGGGCTTTCTGAAGCAGAGGGTGTTCTTAAATTGAATCCCAGAAATAAATATGAATAGTAAGCATAAAAATTGAGCATACTCATCCTAGTGTTCCTTTACATAGTTCCAATGGCCTGTCCTTCCCATTCCCATGAGGAGTTAATTGGCTAGCTGATTGGCTTAAATTGGTGCTCCTTGACTCTATCAAATCCCATGGCCTATTCTTATATCATTTTTATTACCCTTAAATGAACTTCATAAATGATAAAGTTATTTACACCAACTTTCACCAATGCAGATAATACTTTAATAGTAGCTAAAAAAGAAATAAGGAATTTATAATGATATGACTATTCAAATATGTACTTTGTAGTGGTAGAAAAAATAATAAAGTTGGCAGACATTTGAACCTAATATAGACTCATGACAATGCAACATGCAGTGTAATACAAGATACATGTATAGACTGATGTGTCTGTGCTATATTAGTGAACCAAATCGATTATACAATGTGTAATCTTCCCTCAATTTGCATAGTTGTGCACCTGAAATTTCAATTTGCATTAATACTATACAAGCAACTTTGTGTTCATATGTAAATGGAGTGAGCATCTATGCTCAGACAATTTTAAGCAGGTTTTCAATGCATAAGTAAATGAGTACTTTTCATTGTGCTCAGAACTATCCTGAGCACTGCCCTGTTTTAGCCATTCTAGCTGTAGCTTGTAAATGCTAGTAATGCCCAGGGATTATTGTTATCATACAGAGCACTGTGTCTGTCATTCAAGAACAACTCATACAGTTCCCCAAATGCCCTTTCTTGGGTGATAGCCTTTGCATTGATAACCATTAGGTCAATGCCTAATACTAACATCAGAACCCTCAAAATAATTGTGACTTCTTGTATCCTTCAGAAAAGAACAGAATATCTATGATAAAATCCTCAAGAGTTGGGTTTGTTATGAGGTCTACATTCCATGAGGACAAGGACTAAATCTATGCAGTATGTGAAATAGCTCAGTACCTCAACACAATTCCTGGGTGTCTCAGTTGCTCTTCTGTCGTTGCTGGGACCAAAACCCAACACTCAAAATGAAGGAAAGGAAAGGTTTACTTAGCTGACAGTTACTGGAGGTTTCAGTCCATACTCAGTTGGCTCCAAGGCAGGTGGGCACATGGCAGAGAGCAGCAGTTCATGGTGGCGGAACAGCAACAATGACAACAGAGTGGAAGTCTGTCTCACTGTCTCTCTTATGTTATGTTCAGGCTATCTACCCCTAGGCTGGGTGTAGCACTCACACCCATAATCCCAACAGTACTAGGACCCATAATCCCAGTGGATCATGAGTGAATCTCAAACTCTAAAAGTCCCTGCCCCATGACTGAATGAGGCTTCGGGGGGACAACTAGACACAAACCATAACACTGGGCTTTACTGCATCTTATTTGAGTAGTAAACCATTGTAGGCTTAGGATAAATGAGATAGTAAGAATATATGCACTATTTTAAAAAAATCTTTTAAAATTTTGTATTACATATAATAGGTAGATGTCTATGGGAAGACATAGTGAATAATTATGTGAATATACCACTTCTATTGTTTCTGTTTGAATGTGTGAAATTAAAATATTTGAAGACATGTGTGACCTGTCAGTGACCTAGAATCCTTAAGTCGTTTTGAGTGAGGAAAGGAAGGCTGTTGAGGACTCTGAGGTGTGGCCCTGGCCTTAAGAAATGTGCTTCATAAGCTTTTGTGAGGCAACCCTATTAGCTCTAATTTTACAAATGAGGAATTTAGGCTCAACAAAAGCAAGTAATGTGCCAGTGCCAAAGAGGTGACTCAATGACAGAATAGGGTTTGAACATAGGATTTGAACCCAGAATTGCCATGTTCCCAAAGCACTGTTTTTCCCAAGATACAGTGTTTCCCTTGTTCTTTTTTTCCTTTCTTTTTTCTTCTTTTTTAAAAAATGTATTTGGTACAGGGTCACACTATGAAGCTCAGACTCAATCCTCCTGTTTTCAGCCTCCCCCCACGCTGGGATTACAGGCATGTGCCACCACAGCTGGACTGAGTGGCTGGCTCAGCTCGTCCTGGGGGCCGGGCTGGTGCAGCACATGCTGGGGATGGAACCCCAGTCCCTACACTTGCATAAGCAGGTGGTTAGTCCACTGAGCTATCTTGCTGGCTCTCCCTTGTTTCTAAAGTAGAGCAAAACTAGGTTTCTGAAAATGTATATCTGGGGTCATTAATTATGGCCAAGTGAGATTCACCTCATTTTTATTTTTTATTTTATTTTTTTTTGTTTGCCTCCCTCTTTTTTTTAATTTTATTTTTTGAGAAACAAATATCAATGAGACAGTTTCAAAACTGACTAATAGGACAGTTTTAATAATTAATAGTCCACCTCATTTTTATATTACAAGTAATTGCCTTTGTCATGTTTTTAAATTCTCCTGTGCTAGTGGCTGCGTGATTGTTACATTGTTACACTGACCTTGTTAGTCAGATTCCAGGACTCCAGGTTGCGTGTGAACTCCTATCAGTGAACTTGTGAGGGGTCTTTGGGGCTTTACAACCTCGCAGGGCGCCTGAAATAAAGAGTGTTCATTGAGTGGAATTTAATCAACTGTTTCTCCTTTTAGGCCTTGGCCTTATACAATATTTCAGAGAGGCTTTGACCTGGTTCTGGGAGAGCAACCCTCTGATAAAATATTCAGGTAAGTGGTTGTCCAGGGACTCGCTCGTGTATGTCTTCCAGCTCACGTCCCACTTCCCTCCAAACTTCCTCTTCTAGTGGTACAATATGAAAGGAGAAGAACTTTCGGTTCTTCTGCTTACCCCGCCATCAAAAGGCTTGCCCTGGATTCCGGCCAGTGACAACGCAGTGGACTTTGGAGCCACAGCGATTCTGTCTGGGTCCTCTTCTCCTTCCTTGCCAGCTCTGTGGCCTCTGTACTTTTCTTCACCTCTCGGGGCCTCCAATTTCTGCATGTGTTAAATGAGGCTGTATTACATGCCCGGCTGGATTATTGTGAGAGATATATGAGATAATGCAGGGAAGGTCCCTGGCACAGAAACTGGCATAGAACAGGCAATTAATGCCAGTTTCTGCCTCTCTATTTTGCATTTAATTTGCACCTTTCTCAAGGAGCCTTAAGTTATTCAAAATTAATCTCTCCCACCCCTTCCTCCCCCTTTTCTAAACTCTACCTCATTATTATTTTCTTTTATCTATTACCCTCCTCATAGAGTTTGATGCTTCTAGCCCCTCCCAACTTTCTACCTGCTTATCTGGGAATACCTTATATTGGAAAAGCCAAAAAGCAATGGGAGAATTTGGGTGTCAGCCATCAACCACTGGACTTTCATAAAATTTAATTCACACCAGGTCTTATCTGGAATGCATGATTTATTCCCAAAGTAAGATCATACTGTTTATTCGTTTTGTCAGTCTGTTCTTCACTTACCCTACAATTGTTGCATATCTATGAAGCACCCAAAATTGAACTTGGTATGGCAGAGCACATCCTCTCCCAGGAGCAAGCTTTCTAGTAGAGGAAGTGACTAGCCCTGCCCAAGTGGCTGATGTCAAAGAATGACAGAAATGGTGGCACCACAGAGCAGTGAAGACTTGCTTCCTCCTCACTGCACCAATGCAGTTTTCTCACTTGCTACCACTTTTCCAAACTCCTTTCCATGCCCCACCCTGCCAGTCATGTCTGGCTTGGATACTTGCTCCTAGATTTGTCTTCTTAAGCTCACTTTCCTGTACAACTTTGGGCAGCATGAGATGGACAGGTTTGGCTTCAGCTGTGTTTTCCTGAGGCATGCTCTGAGCTAGAGTGCAGATTTACAGAACTACTTTCTTATAGGGCATCTCCTTGGCTTTTTCTCTCCTGAGTATCTCTTCTAGGACAGGTTGGGTCACTTAATGGCATTGGCCCAAGGCTGCTTTTGAGATTTTGTGCTGCTAGATTCTTTGACTGTGTTGGTTACTTAAACTTCCTAACAGTGATTTATCATTTGGCTGATTTTCTTTTCTTTTCTTTTGTTTTCTTTTCCTTTCTTTCTCTTTTTTTCTTTCTTTCTTTCTTTCTTTCTTTCTTTCTTTCTTTCTTTCTTTCTTTCTCTTTCTTTTTCCTACTGCTACTCTTCCAGGAATTTGAAGCATTATAAAGATATGGAAATGGAGAACCATAGGGAAGTTTGTTGATTAACATGGATGAGCTACCTGTTCCCTAAAAGTCAGAAGAAAATATAAAAATCAAGACTTTTAGTGACATTACTATACTCTGGTTTCTCTTCAGATCGTATAAATCTTCTTTTTTTTAGTTATTCATTTTTATTTTTTTCCATAATTTTATTGAGAAACAAATAGCAATGAGACAGTTTCAAATCAAATTGGTAGGATAGTTTCAATAATTAACACATTGCATACATTCTTCCTAGTGGTTAATTGCTGTACAAGATGCAGACATGAGATCCTATTTACAAACACCGTTTAGAACAAATCACTATTCATCAAGAGAATGTAACTATATATCTATCCTAGCCACTTTGAATACACAGATACAAAATGGACATTCATCTGTATCCCCTTTTTTTGTTAAGTTCTGTTATTTGAATATTATAGGTGTATAAACTCAGCAAAATATTCTAAAAGAGTCCAGTAGCCCATCATAGTATTGGGTCTTCCACTTGACTGGCAATGTCAGAAATTGTTGACCTGAGTCCCCTACAGCTCAACATAGCAGCATGGCTTTGCTTCTTATATTTCATTTTTATACTTTTCTTCTGGATGGCAGATCATATAAATCTTCTAAATGACATTACTATTAAAGCAAAGCTTGCGCAAACACTGTTTCCATTCCCACCAGCACCATTTTATTTTCAAATGTATTGGTTGCCATTTGCTTGTGATACCCAAGCACTATAGATGGGATCAGTTTTGTGGCTTCATCCACAAAGTCAACTATCTTAACAGCCATGGAGTCAATCAGTAAGTGATTATAAATTTTGTCCATAACATACATAGTTTTTTTTTTCAAATGAAAGCAGTGAGTGATAGGTACTTACTTTAGGCATTAGGAGCTTTGTCAAGTCCACTCTAAGATCTGAGTCAGTCATCTACCAGTCCCAGTATTTGCTCTCTAGAAAAGTGAATGAAGTGGTCAGTGGCTGTAATTGGCTACTTACTCGCTACTGCACTCATTCATGATTTAATATCCTGATGAATTCCAAACCATTGCACGTGTCTTTGGTCTACAGAGTAAAGGTTAAATTTTTATATTCAAAGCTCTCCACTACTGAATGCCAACATACAGCCCCTTTAAATAAGCTGCTCCTCCATGGGTCTTCCATTCTTCACCAGTTCTGTTTTCTAACTGACCCACTGCCCCCAATAACTCAACTATCCCTTGCTCTGAACCTTTGCTCATACCCTTTCTTTTTAGAAGGGATGCATTTTTCCCTCATTAAGTAAGTATCACCCATTAGGAGCTATGGATCATTACATTCATGGCCCATAACAAGTCTCTAAAGCCTGCCATCTTTTGAGTATACCCTCTTCTCAAGCACTGCTTTTGAAATGGTGTTGATATTATCAAGTGACTATGAGTCCCTGACTGTGCAAGATTATAGTCTTATCCAGGAAGTAGACAATATCCCTGACCCTCCACAAAAGTTCCCATTATACTTTCAAGGAATCAGTGATTGTACCAAGTACACACCAATTAGTACAAAAGCTTTTGGAGGTGCGGCCCGGAAACAAATGCTTTTTAAAAGCACCACAGTGATTTTAATCTATAGCCAGGATTGAGAAATATTGCTCAAGGTCTCTCAAATTTCTTGCACCGGTCCATATTAAATCCCTCCCTCCGAATTTCTATGATAAATTGATAATACTTATTTCTCAATTACTTTATTTTACATTGGTTTTTAAATTGTCTATATGTCTCTCAATTAAAAGAGGTGATGTTTTCCATGGCTTGAAATATTTGGTATATGTAACATAATTTTGAACACACGAGGCTTTTAGTAGCTATCTGTAGATGTAATAGATCTCTGTAGATGTATATATTTTCTAAGGATTTGAAATCATGCTAGAAAAAGACCCTGAGGCCCAACTCAAACTTGGCATTTCATAATGCCAACTAACCTGAGTGATCTGTAATCCTCATCTAGACTTATTTAGAGGATTCAAAAGGACCTTGACCCTCCCAACTGAGTCTTCTGACCATACCCCTTCTGGTTTTAGAAATGTCCTTTCCTTCTGGGAATCTCTCCATTCTGCTGTTGTCTGGTGACTGGGCTGATGGTAGGCCAGAACTATCTTGGAGACCTTCCTCGAGCTTGTGCCTGCACCTTTGGGAACTGTGTCTCATCTGGGAATGGCCTGCTCCAGGAAAGACTGGATATGCCTGTTATCTGTCAGTGGTCAAGAGCCATCTATCTGTTTTCCCACATTCTATTTCATGCCAAGCCACTGAGAGAGCACAGGCGTAATTTGCCCACCACTCTCTGGAAAAGGTCTGCCTCTGAACAGAATTTTCAAGCTTTGGTTCAACAGGACCATGCAATTTACAGCTGCGCCATCAGCTGCAGTGGTCACCACCAGCTGTCACAAAGGCAGGCCCAACTTGGAAAAGGGCCTAGATGCTCCCCCAACTTACCTTGGATGGATTTATGAAGTCTTTCCTGAGGAATCTGCATGAATGAGGGACAGATGAGATTTCAGGACATAACTTTTCTCTGACAGTTTATTCTATATTTAGTTTTTGGAGTTACTCAGTAGACTCTGCAGATAAAAGAGAGCTTAAGAATTTCATAGGCATGAACAAGCAGGTGCTGGGAAGCTGCTCTGATCCTTACCTGAGAAGCAGACCAAACCTGCCTTTCCCACTTGCAAGGGGGTGACCTTGAGAAGGTTATTAGCCTTCTTAAAATACATATGCTGAATTGGTAAAATGAGGCCAGACTACCAACTTCAGAGGGTTTGATGAGGATAAATAAGGTCATGCTGCAGAGCACCTGCGCTCTTGCTAGGTCCCAGTGAAGGGTAGTTTCACTCCATATCTAGTTTGGCTTCCCCTACAGGGTTTCACCTGGCCCTTAAAGGCTGGGGTAGGTTACATTGTTTTCTTGTTAGTGTCCAATGTCCTGTTCCAGAAACTTTTGTGCACTTAGGAAGCTCCTTGTGCTATCCAGCCCAGGTCCATTGTGACCATTAGATTCATTCAAACCCAGATGTTAACCTCATCTTGCTTTTCTTGGAAGATTAGCCTCAGCATCACTTCTGCTTCCAAATCAGAGCACTCACACTGTGTTCCCCAACATCGTGCTCAAATGAAAGAAACAAACAACATCACTTTATTGATTAGTCAGTCATTATTTACTGAGTGATATCCTTGGGGCAGAAATTGTCAGATTGTGGGACATAACAATGACAAAGGTCTGTTCTTTGTCACCTAAAAGTGCACAAACTTATTAAAGATGATAAACCCTGAAAAGACACAGTTCACCGCCTAACGGACAGGGAGGGTCCTGCGAGAGGTGCTCAGAACTCCTTGCTCAGCTCGGCGTTGTGGGTCTAGGTTCTTGCGGGCTTTCCAGAACGTTTGAGACCTTGACTGAATCTTCAAATGAGGCAAATTCAGAAGGAAGGCCATAAAATCCATAAAGAAGTAATATTAAGAGCAAAGGCCAAAAAGTGAAAAGAATAGGATAATCCGAAGAGCTAAGATGAGATGGCATATAGGAGCACAACGTGTGAGGCAGGCTTGGAAAGAGAAAGGAGGGTGGGCTGACGCGTCTGGAGGCTTGAGCCTCCTTCTGTACCCAAGCGCTGCAACCTAGGCAGCACAGCTTGAGAAAGTCAGAGTCGGGTTTCGCTGTTCCCGAGTAACATTACTCGGGGAAGCTGTGAGACGGATGAGCGTGTTTTTCCAAGAGAAAACTTAGCCATCAGAATGGTCCAGAACTGCCAATGGCTTCCTAAAACCTATTACATAACCAAAGCAAAACTATAATTTTAAAACCAAAATAGAAAACAAAACCTCGTTTTCGTGTCCCATGACATGCCTCCTCCCTGGAACCATTCAGACCCGTGGCTGTCCTCCCTGACGCAATGCTATGCTAATGGAGCTCACGTGCTATGATGTTGCTGCTTCAAGTGCACCCATTACAAAATGCAAAATGAAATCATGCTCATTCTTGGAGGTCATTTTCTTCATCTCACATGTATCCGTAAGTCCCAGATTCCAAGGATTTGGGGATAATATATAACCCTGAATGAATTCCTTAATATTGCCAGATGAAGAGTGTGTGTGTGTGTGTGTGTGTGTGTGTGTGTGTGAGTATGAATGTGCTGTTATACCTTCAATCTCACTAGGTGACTGAGGGAAGAATGAAGTCAGACTTTTGTCCCCCAATAATGGTCCCCACCTAGGGCAGACTCCTCCTGCACAGATCTAGCTCTACCCATTGTCATTTTTCCCGCTAAGTGGGAAGATCTGAGAGCCTTCTTCAGAGCAAGGAGCATCCTGAGGTTTCTTTAGAGTCAAGAGTCAGGTAGAAATGGGAATCAGAGGCTGGCCAAATAGCTCAGCAGATTAAAGTGCCTACAAGCAGGTGCAGGGGCCAGGGATTCAGTCCCCAGGCCTGCCATGCCAGCTCCACCCCTGGGCACCCTGAGATGGCAATTGAGATTGGGTGTGGTGGCACACACCTGTAAGCTCAGCTCTTGGGAGGACGTAAACAGGTGGATCACTACAAGTCCAATCTAGTAGTGAGATCCTGAACACCCTGTAGACCCTTCCCTAAAAATACAGAAAGAGAGAGAGAGAGAGAGAGACAGAGACAGAGACAGAGACAGAGACAGAGAGAAAGAAAAAGAAACCCTTCAAATCCTGGCCAGGTCCTGCATAGAGGAAGTTTTCCCACCCCAGCCAACTCTGGCAAGCCCCTGCAGTTCAGCTGGCACTACCTTCTCCTCTTTGAGCACCGCTGGCATCCAGGCTCTTCTTCAGGATGCAGCAGCCCAGTTAGTGGTTCACTCTGTGGCCTTCACTCTGAAAAGGACTGCACTGTTGATAAGAGATCCAAAGTCACCAATCTGGTTTCCTGTCATCTCAGCAACCCAGGAGGAGGGGCCGGGGGAGAGAGGAACAAGGTTCTTAAATGGTGCTCCGTGCCCAGCATGCTAATGGACCAGTGCTGGGTTCTGCTTAATTGAAAGCATCTTTCCATTGTTTTCTCCCTCACATTAAGTTGGGAGGGGACACCAGACTGCCACTGCCTGGTGATATCCCACCCACGCTGGCTTTTATCCCACTGACTATTTTTGACTATGAACAGAAGCGTTTGAATGCCTTTGAAATGAAATGAATGAATAAATAAACAAATAATCTCTCATGGTTTCCTTAAGCTTTCCCTTGAAATGCTGATTGATTCTTTTATTCCTTTTAGCCCTTGTTATAAGAATAATAATAAAAAAAACTTGTCTATATCCCAAGGGTTAGCACCGTTAGCTAAGGGTGTGGATAGGAGTGCAGAGAATAAACAAGGGTCTGTTTTGTTCATTTGTTCATCCCCTCTTCTCCTCCCTCCTTCCTTCAGTTATTTCTGTTCCTGTCACACAGAAGCCAGAAAAGGAGAGCTTTTCCCTTGCCTTTTCCTGGTCAGGGTTCCTCCAGGCGCGGAGAGACCAGGGCTACCGTGATGGGTGTGCCACCCAGTCCTGAGGTGCGGATGGTGGAGGCCAGTTTCTTGTTTCAGTTAAACCACTTATATCTGATTGAAGGCAAGGGAAGCCCAGCTTCAAATATGACAAAAGGCAAGGCTCATCTTTTATGACTTGATGAAAAACCACTTCTAGTATCTGGTGAGGGGACACTATGGTCAGCTGTCCAGCGGTCTGGCTTTGTAAGAAACAGTAGGCCTCTCCACGTGCCTCTGACTCAGTCCTCTCATCCATACAATGGCAATCAGGTCTTCTCACTGAAGAAGATTTTGTGTAGGAGAAGAGCAACAAGGAGCTGGTGACAGATGGGGGAGGTGACGCTGTCCCAGCCTTCACCTTCTGGTGTTCTGTGTTCTGCAGGTTCACCTACACTCTTGGGGAGGGCATGTGGTTGCCCCTCAGCAAGAGCTTTGTGATTCCACCAGCTGAACTGGCCATCAACCCATCCGCAAAGTGTAAGACAGACATGACCGTCATGGAGGACGCTGTAGAGGTCCGGTGAGTCTGGCTTCAGGGTGCTGAGGCTGCAGAGCCCATGGAACAGAAGCGCAGCAAGCTGAAAGGAGACATGGGCAAGCTGCTTTTAAATTTTCCAAAACCAGAGTCATACTCTGCTCTTCATCTGGGTCAATATTGCACATCCTACAACTCCTTAGCTGGAAGAAGACATAAAATTAAGAGTTTGTAAGCACTTCTCACATACCCCAAGGACTGACAGGCAATAAAATGTTAATTTCCTGGCCCAAGTTTAGCCTCTTTCTTTGACCAGGCGTTACAGCCTTGGCTCGTTTCCCAGATATAAAAAATGCCTATTAATTTGTTCCTTCGAGGCTCAGAGTATGGTTGATCTTCAATTTTTATAAGACAGTGAGTCTTCATTCTGTTGTTGAGACAGGAACATGGAATGTGACAGCCACTTGTTGCCCTGGGTCTCCTTTGACTTTTCCCCATTCTCTGTGTCTCCCTGCAGAGAGGAGCTGATGACATCCTCCTCCTTTGACAGCCTGGAGGTCCTCCTGGATTCCTTTGGGCCAGTCCGGGACTGCAGCAAGGACAATGGGGGCTGCAGTAAGAACTTCCGCTGCATTTCAGACCGCAAGCTGGACTCCACTGGCTGTGTGGTAAGTCTGTTCTGCCACGCTAAGAGTTCCTGTCTGGGGTGGGGAGGGAAAGCACCATGTGAGGAGTGATGCAGGTATGTAAATGAAAATGTAATGCGGTCCCTGGTTATTCTCGCCACCTAGTTTAGGGATTTTTCCCTTGATATGCACAAGTAGATAATTACCAAGTATTCTAGAATTGCTATGGAGCCATTCACCTACTCTGTGTTCTCTAGCTATCCAAAAGAATCATGTAGAACGATTCCTTTCCATCCTTATAATAAAGTTGGTGAGGGGCCCGGAAGATAGCTCAGTGGTCTAAGTGCCTGCCTGGCAAGCACATTAACCCAGGTTCAATCCCTGGTACCGCATGCTGTGCCAGCCTCACCCTGGGCGCGTTGAGCATTGGTGGTACATGCCTGTAATCCCATAGAGGCTGAAACAGGAGGATCACTATGAGTCCAAGCAGCATAGCGAGACCCTGTACCAAATACATAAATAGAAAATAAAGTTGGTGAGAATAAATTCTTTAATAATATAATGTTAACTCTAAGTATAGTAGGAAGTCTTACCTAAAGTTAGAGTAACAGAAGAACTAAGCTATGCCAAGAATAGCAAAGTATAAACACATGTATGGTCATGCTGGGCTGTAGCATACATCTCGTCTAGGCCCAAGATAGGTTTGTGCTTTGCTTCCAGCTCAATGGGCTTTGGCTGCAGGTGAAACGTGTTGTAACATGATGGTCTCGTGACTTCCTAGCTTGAGTAGACTAAGCCATCTTCCACAGCGTGGATATGAGGTGCAGCAGCCAACAAAGTCATCCCATATTAGTTTCTTTTCATTGGCCACTCTTGTGTCTCTGAGCAGGGCTATCCATTGCCACTTTTCTCTTCTCAAGAGGGGAAACAATACAATCCTCAAGAAAGGAGAGGGGATGAACATTGAAGGATGGGGGGGGGCAAACACAATGAGAACAGAGGACAGTGAGAAATCATTCACAGGGCCAGGGAGTCCTGCAGTGGAGGGGGTAAGGGCCAGGAGCTATGGGCTTCTGGGAGGATGTAGAGCCCACGTCACTTCCCAGTCTGACAACTGTGCTGTGCCAGGGACCCCAGAGCAGGGCACATGGCGAGGAGGCTTCCATCTGTGAGCCCCTGCACTGTTTGGGGAGCTGCTCTGTGTCAAAGGTGGATATGTACCTGGGGACAGGGTGGACTCTCCAGGCCCTTGGGTCTCCTCAGATTGTTAGTGATTAAGTGCCAACTAGACAGGAGCTAGAGTCACTTCAGAAGACAGAGAAACACATAAAGAAAAGAAGGCAAGAAAGAACTGAGGGGCAAATGGGAGAAGCTGAAAGGTGCCTTGTAGCAGCCAAAGAAGAGCAGCTAGGAACTATCTGAAAAACCCAGAAGAAAATTATTTGTGAGGTCACATCTTCCACCAGCAGCCGGCAGGTAAGCTGATGCACGGTGGTGCCCCCTCCTGTGCTGGTCCAACCTCAGGTGTTGTAAGCAATGAGCTCCCCAACTGGGTCCCTCAAGGATCAATTTCATTCTTTCATTTAATAGAGCTCCCAGCTGAGGTGCATTTTTCCCTCTTTTGTAAGCTTAAGCCTGCATTTCTTCATCCAGATGTCAACATTTCATTCCTTATTGCTATTCTCAGGTTGTTCTAAACATTGAATGTGTTCAAGCATAGTCCCTGCCCCAAGCCCCCGCCATATGCACACATTCACAGGCACTGGAATGGGCTCTCCCTCTTCTCCCTGCTGCTTCCTGAGCCACTCAGGGTTTGCCTGTCGAGCCTCTTCTTGATCATGCTAACCGTTTTTTCTTGGCACAGAGCTGTGCTGATGGATTCCTGTACTTTTAACATTGTGATCTCTGAGATGGAGCTTGCAGAAATAGTTCTGATGAATATGCATTTGCAGGGAGGCTGCTGTATTTTAGAATCAGAGCCACTGCAGAAAACCACCCAGTTATGCCAGGACTTGGTATTAGCATAATACTTTGAAGTCACTTGTCCACGTGGCTCCCAGAGGGAGGAGCAGTGCAGGCTGATTGGCAGACGAACTCAGTTTACTATTTCTCATTGGCTATGAAGCATGTGATCCCTGGGGCAGGGGACAGATGTGCTTTCAGCTGATGTATCACATCATGATGCTTGTGTCTACACCAAGAAGATTAAGGGTCTGACTTTGAATCTGACCCATGGATATCACTGGTACTGTCCCAAAGCCCTGGTGTGATAGCAGCGTCCCCTGTCATCTTTGGGTGGGCCAGGAATAAAAGTATCAGAATATACCAGCTCCATGCTGAGGAAAATTTCCTGCTATCCTCCTCTCCAAGTAAGCCTTACATTCAGTCTCAGAAAGGCATATTTTTATTAAAGGAGAGAGAGATGAGAAACACAGAAGATGCTGGCCCTTCAGGAGCATGGGAAAGGGGCAGAGACTCAGGAGGAGGTCAAGCACGCATCTGTATATTTTCCTGGTTTAATTCAAACCAGACAGGTGGAATTCATGTTGTGTCCACATGGGCTGCTCAACCTCCATTCTTTCTAGGAATGCAAGGCAAGCTTTTCAGTTATGCATGGACTCCCACAGGGTTAATTGCTATCCACTTAATTGCCCTGTTGTTTATATAGTCTCTGAGGACAGGCAACAAATAGCCATGAAAGGCACAGGCTTGTACAAACCTCAGATGGCTGAAGCTTCAGCAGGGTTCCCAGAACACAGGCTAGCTGGCCACCATGAATGGCCAGAGGGTTCTCACTGTCCTATGTGCAGAGTGGGGCATTGGGTGACCTGCCAAGCCTGGAGTGGCCGGTCAAGGTCCTTCCGGGTGCTGCTGTACTAGTATGGTGCTACTTGGACAAGTTACATAGATTTTAATGACTTAAAGCTACCTAAATTTATTATCTTACAACTCTAAGTGAAAATCCAACTTGAGTCTCATTGGACTAGGTAATGTTTTGCCCAGTGTATTTCCTTCTGGATGCTTGGAAAGAGAATCCAGTCCCTGTCTTTTCCAGCTCCTACAGTCAATCTGTGCACATCTTGTGATGGCTTCTTCTACCTTTAAAGCCAGCCACGCTGCATTTTTCTGATATTCTTCTGTAGCTTACCTGCCTTCTGCCTCTGTCTTCCACTTTTAAGGACTCTTATGATTCCATCAGCTCCACCCAGACACTCCATGATAATCCTCTTATTTCAAGATCCTTAACTTAATCACATCTGCAAAGGCCCTTTTGCCATAGAGGGTGAAAAATGTCACAGACTCCTGCCCTTGTGACACAAGCAGATGTGGGAGCTCTTCTGGAGGAGGAGGCACCCACTGGTGCAATGCCCTATCCCCAGCTTTAACCAGGGTATCCTCACCATTATCAGGTCTTCTGTTTAGGTTCAATGTCAAATTGGGCTTGAAACAAAACCAAAGGCAATAGTTCATCTTCATATTTACCCTAAAAAGGGCCATAAAAACCCTATGCTTGGTGGGACGGTACTTAGATGAGCAGGCTTGGCAGCCCGGGGAGAGGTCAGCTGCTGTGCTTTCTTGTCTGTGGACTACGTGACTGCCCCTGCCAGGGCATTATGCTCTAAAGGGCTTTGAATTACCCAGCGACCCTGCTGCCCTTCCTTCCACATGCTGTCTACAATGGTTTCCCACGAAATGTGTCTCTTCACCTCTTCTGGAGCACGGAAGCACAGGGACCATTACAGATGACCATCTCTCTTTCTCTCTGTAGGACAGTAAGCCAAAGAGTATGCCTCAGAGGCTTCCAGAGAAATGAGGGCAGGAAGCTATCGCGGTCTGACATATAAATTTAACTCCATCAAACTTTAGCTTGTTACCTCTGGGAGAAGTCCTGCCTGGCTTGGGCCAGCATGTCAGAGCCTATCAAAAAGTTGTGGAAATCATTATTTGTGAAAGGAGTAAGATTGTCGTCTAGTAGAAAAGGACCTATTTTTGAGTAGAAGTTATAGCTGCATGTTCTCTGAGCCATCCAGGTAAGGTGAGGCAGGCACAGTTTCAAGAATTTGTCCCTCTGTTCATGTGTCCATTACTTATCGTTGTCTACTGATAGGGCATCCACTTCTAATTTGAAATTGAGCAGTGAGTGTGTGTGTGTGTGTGTGTGTGTGTGTGCACGTGTCCCAGACTCAGAGACTGCACTAAGCTCCTAAGCAATTAATCAACCAAAAATCATCAGTAGAAAAAGAATAAAAAGATAGCAGAGAAAAGGAATTGAATGGAGGAAATCATTTTAATCTCATTAGCAAATTATGCCTTCGACCAGTAATAAGTCAAGAAGCCATGAGCATCTCATGAAAGATGATTAACCTTGTGTATTTAGGGGTCAGTGAAATGAGCTCATTTATTAGCCCTTCTTGATGGGGGAGGGCTGCTGCCAAAATACAGAAGTATTTTTTCCCCTAAGTTTGTAGTTCATAAAGTCTCTGGGACAGCTGAGTGTCACCTATGCAAAGAGTGCCTAATAGGTGTCCTTGGGTCTGTCTCTGAAGCAAACAGTTCACTTTCAAGGAACAAGTGGAAAGATCATCAGTAGCCTGAGGGCCCAGTGTCTGGAAAACTCAAGATTGAAAGCTCTACCTAGAGGCAGGATTTCCCCTGAGCAAATGAGCTCTGGTTATGGGTACTTCTAGGGAAGGACATGGTTTAGAGATTAGAGGTTCTTTGCATGTAGATCTAAATCTTTGAGGAAACTAGAGTTTGAATGTAATAGCTGAAGGAAGATTAATCACAAAGCAAAACTGATTTATGTCATGAAAAGCTTGATTAGCTCCTTGGGAAATCAGCATTCTGGTTCCCAAGTGTTAAGAAGAAATCCTTTTGTTTTGTTCTTTCTTTGTGTTTTTTTTTTTTTTATTTCACCCCCCACCACCACCTTTGGAATTATTTCTAGAATGTTATCCTTTGAATTGAAGCTTAAATCAGTTTCAATGCAGTAAAGATAACAGTGCCTTTTCAGTGATGTTGAATCTGATCTTGCCTTCAAGATCATCGCTCTGGACAACTGGCAGTGATTTTCCCCAAAATATGTCCATAATATGGTGATCTGTGTGTGAGCCTGTGTGTGTGTGTGTGTGTGTGTGTGTGTGTATGTGTGTGTGTGTGTGTGTGTGTGTGAAAGGAGGGACAGCGAGACAGACAAAGAACCAAATCCTTGACTGACCCAAGCGTATGCTCCAAGACTTGCTTAAAGCAGCCGAACAATGAATCTACAGGATAGCACTAGCTTGGTGACACATTGGCTTTACTTCTTAGACTTTTCAACACAGCTATGTTTTGTCATAGTTGGGAAGACAAGGTGGTAGAATGGAAGGAACACACTTGAGCTTAGAGACCAGACAGATCGACACTCAACTGGAGACCAGACAGATCGAAACTCAAAGTCTGATTCTGCCATTTTCCACCACTGTGACCTTAAACAAGAACTTAGTTTGGGTCCAAATTTGTTCATCTGATAATGAGTAAGAGTGTGCCTGTGTTATCGGGATTGAAGATGACATATGTAAATAATAAATGTCTTGCACAAGGAACTATTTAATTCCTGATTGCTGTGATTATTTTTAGCTTTGCTTACAAGGAAAGAACTCCAACACGGAAAGGCAACTAACACTCTCGTCTCTCCAAATTTCCCAAGAGAATGCAGATATCAGGTGGCCCAATTTGGGATAGCAGTGGTCATCGGGTGCTAGGGCCAGGAAAGATGTGGATATGCCAGGTTCTGAAATTGTGGAACAAACCCTGCTCATGTTTCATCCAGTGCCGTCTTTGTCAAAATTCACGCTTGATGAAGCATTCTGAAAAAAGCAGGTGTTTGGGAGCACGGAGAGGCCTGGCTGGTGGCAGAGAGCTTGCTGGGGCCAGCAGGAATAGCAGCAGGGCTGGGTTCATCCCGCTTGATGGCTTCTAGCAAACTGTATTGAAGAGAAACTAGAGGATGAGGGATGGAGGTGGGGTGGGGAGAAATTCCAGTGCAGCCCATTTAACTCCAATCAGACTTCCTGTTTCCATACCAAGTCCAAGATGCTGATGCCAGCTGTCTTCTGGTGACATGTCTGGCCTAATGGCTGGGTGGCCAAGGAATTTGATGAGCGAGGGGGCTAGCAAAACCAGGGTGCAACCCTCAGCTAACTCATTTGCTTGTTTACTGTTTGTACAACGTCTGGGCTTACACAGCAGGGACAACTTCTTCAAATGCTGTCACCTTCTAGCACTCTGGCCTGCCCTCCTGGGGAGAAAAGGCGTGGACCAGGCTGGGGGACCTGGCAGGCCCACAGGGAGCCATGTGTTTGGGAAAGTGCAGAATTAATGTCAGCAAATAGTGCATCTCCAGCTGTAATCTCTGAATTGCCAGGAGAAGGGAGGAGAGGTGGTTTTTCAGAGGGATATGTGCAGCAGCTCTGGGCTACAAGGCCACGGTGCTGGGTAGCAGAGAGTGAGCAAGCCAGGGAGTGGGGGCAGAGGAAAGATGTTTAACATGGGTCCACTGAGTTTTGAAAGGTTTGTTTGGGTTTGGATTTGGCAGTGTCTTTGCCAACTGACAGTCCGTGTACAGCTCTGTCCTCAAAGCCCAACGTTCGGAGTCCAATCTAGAAAGACTTCCAGCTTTGTCTTTCTTCCCCTGCATTTAGCTGCATTTAGCTGCTTGAGCCTGACAGGTTACTTGACCCCGCCCAGCCTGTTGGAAAGGGCGGACTCTAATACAAACATGTAACATCTGTTGCATGGGGAGAAGTGAGAGGGGAAAGCCACTGGCTTTTAAAGGGAGTCCAGGGCAGTGGAGAAAAGTTCCCAAATTAGCCAGCAGTCTTAACTGTTATCTTTAAATAGGGAGAGTACAGGATGTGGTGAGATAAAACGCCTGGAGCACTTAGCACAGTGGCCAGAACCTCAGAAGTATCAGGGTTGGAGACTTGTAGAACAATTGCCTCAGGATTCCACAGTCAGCCTGCCAGGGTGGAGTGCCAGGAGCAGCTGTGTGGCTTTAGGAAGGGTCAGTGCTCTGCTCCTCAGGGTCTGCACGCATCAAACAGGGAAGCTCGCATTACTTACCCAAAGGGTGCTTCGGGGCTGAGCAATTAGACCACGCTCTGGTGCGGAGCAGGTGCTGCAAAGTGCTGCTGAGGCTCACCCACTTCAAGAAGCTCCCCCAAAGTCTGACATCTCTTCCTTGATTTCCTCCTTTGCTGTCATTTTCGGGCAGCTTTTTTGTTTTTGTTTTTTTAAGGGTTTGAGACAAAGTCTCACTATGCAGTTCAAACTGACCTCAAGTCACTATGTAGCCAAGGTTGGCCTCACACTCACAGGGGTCCTCCTGTCTCAGCCTCCCGAGGACTGCGATTACAGGGGTGCGCCACCGCGCCCATCTTTGGGGGTGTTATTGAGAAGAAAGTGTGCAGAGGGGCTAAATATCTCCCATGAAGGGGGTGTGGCCTAGACCCAAGCTCAGCATGGGTTCTCAGAAGTGCTCTTGTCTGCGTGTCTTTCAAAGGCGTCCCCTGGAGGCAGGACTCTGAGGAGTGCAGCTGCCGTCTAAGGGCAGCGAAACTCCCTCTGACAGCACAGGGGGAGGCTCCGCCCTCCTTCAGGGTGGGAGCCCCAGCTCAGCCCATTTCCTCCAGGGCTGATGACTGGCACTAACTTCTACCAAGTGTTTCAGACTCTGGAAATGTCCTTTTAACGTCAAGTCCAAGTAGCAGCGTCCTCTTCTCTAACCCAGACGCATCTGCGCTAGTGGTCCTGACGCCGACCCACCCCTTCCACCCCGCCCGGCGGGGCTCAGCTGGCAGCCGGCACCTGGGGCTATAGAGCTGGCTCCCGGCCCGTTTGGAGGCAGCAGCCGTAATGCAAATGTGTGTTATCTGTGCCCACAGAGAGGAAGCCATTTGCCAAGAAAGGTCACTCGCTTTTAAAGGGAGTCCAGGGCAGAGGGTAATTGGTGGATTTCTTGCCAGTGTTAATAGTTTTTAGGCAGAATGCTAAAAATAAGTGTCGGGGTCGTTCGCCGGGTCTCAGAGAACCCAGGCCCCCGATTCACCCACCCGCGTGGATGCTTTCTGGTCGCGCCAGTGCCCGTCCGGACTCAGCCCCATGAAGGACAGCTCGGGGTGCTACGACCGCCACATCGGGGTGGACTGCTCCGACGGCTTCAACGGCGGCTGCGAGCAGCTGTGTCTCCAGCAGATGGCGCCCTTCCCGGACGACCCCGCCCTGTACAACATCCTCATGTTCTGCGGGTGAGTGGGGGTCGCGGGGCGGAGAGGGGCCTGCAGCACCCGGAGAGGAGTTCCTTTAAAGCCCGGCTGGGAAGGAGTTCGAGGAGGAATCTGGTCCAACCCTATGAAGGTGGAAGCCCGACTTCAGGGATTTACCTGCCAGGGAAAATGAATCACCCGGTTTGCTGCAACCTCTGCCTAATTTAAACCAGAAGGTTCCTGGCTGTGAGTTGTGAGGCTGTGTTAATTAGCTGTTTGTGACGAACAGCAGTCCGTGGTTGAAAATCGGAGAAAGCTTATGTGAAACTAATCAGTTATCAAAGAAAGGAGAAATGTCTTTGGAGTTCTGGAAGCTTCTCTAAATTCGACCTCCAAAGTCCCAGAGGTAGGTGCAGCTGATTCTCCTGGAGCCCCAGGCCTGCAGGGTCCCTCAGAGGTACACTCCTCTGTTCTCAGGGTCACTCTGAGAGGGAGCAGGCCAGGCGAGGCCCGCTCAGGGTGAGTTAGGCAGGTAACTCCCGCAAGACTGGAGCATTGGTAAGCGGAAGGTGAGGGTCGGCGGAATTCAGGCCCGCTCTGATCTTTTAAAAATTCCGTGACTTTCTCAAAATATAAATTTATATCACTGAGTAGAATTATATTTAAAACATTCTTATGCTCTATTTATAATAAAGACTTTGCCCATTGTGCTGTACCCACACTTTGCTCCCTCCTATGGGTTCTGCTGCCCCCTTCTTCGGCTCCTCCCTTCTCCCACAGGTCAGGCTGGTCTGCCCTCGCTTGGTGCCACCAGTGCTCCCAGCCGCTGGGCTGCCCGGAGGAAGAACGTCTGGCTCTCGCCCTCAAGGATCCCGCCATCCAGCAGACTTGCCCGAAAATCAATGTTTACGGCCATAAAACTGTGCTAGATGGTTGCTGAAAACCACTGCCTCCTGAATAATCATGAAAGGGTTTTCAGTGGAGTTGTAATGTTATTTTATTGTATTTTAAAATTTTATTTCTTTGCAATTGAGCAATTTTCATATTCAGTTTCTTGTAAGATCCCATTCCACAAATAGAGACTTGCTCTAAATTTTAATGTTCTCTATAATGTTATCATTAGGGTTGGCCCGCCTCAATTAATAGAAGTAAATTCACCCAAAGTCATATCCGTTAAAAAAAAAAAAAAAACCTACCTATCTATCTACCTATTTGTGCAGAGAACTTAGTTAGGTGGGAGATATAGGAGATTCACCAAGATGTCAGACTTGTCTCCCTGCTCAAAGGAGTTTACAGTGGGATGTATGCCTGGGAGAGAGCGGGCAATGAGGTGATGCAGAAGGGGAAGCCGTCAGGATGTTTAAGAGAAGGCATCAGCCAGCTCCTAAATCCTTCCCAGAAACACTATTTATGGCTCCAGGTAGGGAGCACACCACTCACTACATTGTCCTAGACCTGTGCAGGTGCCGGGTGTCCTCTGTGGGTTTTGTGTCACATGTGTTCCCTTGACTGAGCCAGTAGGTCCCTAACTGGACTTCCTTTAGATCTAAGGCACTGTACAGAGCCTGTCAGAGAGAGAAGTCCTTGACTTGAAGTCCTTACACAGAGACCAGTCACACACACTTCTCATTAAAAAGCTCTACTCACACCTGTTTACACAAATATATAAATGAGAAATGGGCAAAACTAGCAGTTGTACTAACAGGGGCCTCGTTTGCATCACTGCTATTAATAACTACATTTAATGAGTGTTAGCTATATATGATATATGTACATGTAATTTAACCATATGTGACACTGCCTCAGTTCTTTACCGTAAGGGTGTTAATTCAAACAATCCAGCAAAACAGTTACTTTCTCCCCTTTTTACAGTTTTGGAAAGTAAAGCTCAGAGAGGTTGATTAACCTACCCAAGATCACTCAGGAAATAAGCATATCATTGCTATGCCAACATTTCTCCTCACTGCATAAAACTATAATCATTTGTTTCCCTATATGGAAGGAAAGCCTGTATTGTATTATGACAATGACTATGTGGAGTGATAAATGATGTGCTTTTATAGCAAGAGCATTTTTAAATTCTAAGTGTTACTTTCCTAAAGAGAGGACCAAATTAGATCAGTGTTCTTTTTTCAATGACGACATCGCCAGAGTAGCTCCTAGTGGAGCAGACAAATGTATGTTCTTCCTAATATAACTACAAATAAGTTCTAATAAATGACTGAGGAGTCAGTGGCCCACATTTACCAAATTAGCATTGCCTTTCTGATAGAGTAGCTGCTCGTGTGTGTGGTGAGGCCGGGACGACGCAAGCAGGCAGCTTCTGGTTCACGGCGCACCTGATGTTCACACCCCGCGCCCCGGCAGTTATTTGGTTCAGGGAAGCTACTCTGAATGAAGGGGAGTTGGGAGGAGTTGGTCTTGTGTTTGGAAACATTCAAACAGAACACAGCTGAGAGATCATAAATCTTCCTAATTTCTTAGTTGACTTGTCACAGGACCACATTAGAAAGTTATTAATATCTTAAGCACGGTGTCATTCCCTTTGCTGCCTGATTAACTTTCCAACAAATGTAAGACCTAGCCACATAAATAGCTCTCGAGAAAGACTAGTACCTCTTGAGTTTAAATGTGTCGACTCATTTACAAACATATCCAGTGATTCTTACTCTGCCTATGTAGGAAATCCTCTAATGAGAGGTGAAGGACCACCCAAGTCCTGAAAGACTTATCTTCAAGAGAAAGGTCAGAAATTCAGCATGATCATATGATAGGTGGAGCCCCTTCTCCAGGCTTAAGAAATTAATTTATAAAAGGATCCAAATCAAAGCAGAGCATTCCTACTCTTGGCCATCCAGCACTCTTTCAAAGGCAGTTCTTCTGTGTTTGTTGAGTTGATCTGCCTGAGCAGCTCATGGATGGAGTACTTTCTCATCTTGAGTTCTCCACCACATTAGGTGCATTGAAGACTACAAGCTTGGCGTGGATGGACGGTCCTGCCAACCCATCACAGAGACCTGTCCGGAAGGAGGAGATTGCGGGGAAAGCAGGGAGCTTCCCATGAACCAGACTCTCTTCGGGGAGATGTTCTTCGGTTACAACAACCAATCCAAGGAAGTGGCCCCCGGACAGGTGCTGAAAGGCACGTACAGGTGAGTCTCTCATGCATAGAACTGATTATTCAGGCTATGGACCGACCCTCTCTGAAAAGCTTTACACTCTGGAGGAAGTGTTACACCTTAGAAGAGGGTAATGGGGATGTGCACAAGGATAGGTTATTTTCTCACCTACACTCTCCTCTAGGTCTATACTCCTCCATCTGGAACCCAAGCACCATGCTCTCTCTTGGTGAATAGTCAAGTTGATGTTGCTCACACAGAGACAGCAAGATTTTGCAAGGAATCTACTCCAAAATGCTTCAGCTCCATTTTCCTTGGGAATAAGAGAGCTGGTGTCTGAGTCAGTCTAGGACAGCAGCCTTCAGCTTGTGGTTGGTTCAAGGGTGCCTCAGGTCCCTGGACCTCAGCAGAGAAAGCTCAAGGTCCTTCCTTTATTTATGTACAGAAAGGCTAGGGCTTTTTCCTCTACCTACTTCAACGTAAGCAGTATGTTGCAAAAAACTGGATTTAGTTGAGAGAATGCAGTTGCTTTTTGTTAAATCATAACTTTCAAAATTTACAAAAATGTAAAATAATGCACCCTTCTTAATTTTCATAAAATATGTTTAGACTGAATGGATTTATTGTCCCTTTTCAATGATTTTCCCTTGAATTTTCCATTTCAAATCCTATTGTCATAAATATTGATAGATAAAGGCTTTATCATAGACATAATATAGCTAATTGGGGCTTTCAGTTATTAAGAGTGTAAAACAGTTACACAAGGTCTCATGCTATTTATTTAGACCATTTCTAGTAAATTCTGCGCTTGACTCCAGTCCATATTCTACTTTGGGCTATTTGAATATGCCTCCCTCTGAACCCATGGAGAAATGCTTCTATAAAATGATGGTGGTGACAATGATGTGTTACAATCACATCATGATGTGCTACATCAGTGTTACAATCTGAATGTAAGAGCAGCTGATCACAATCCGGACCTAAATTCTCAAGAACAAACAGATAGAATTCCCAGGCTAGTTCTTTCAGTCACTTTGTCTAGTACGGACAGAAAACTTTACAAATATTTCCTCCTTTTCTCTGGAAAGCAGTTTCCCCAAGACAAGAAGTGGGTGTCATCATGATCTTGGGGTGGGTAGAGTCTACAGAGGTCTAAATGAGACTGTGTAAAGGTGACTAGGGATGTGAAGGAGGGAAGGATGTTCTCTCTGCTTTCGGTAGACTTTTTGGTTGTTTCATTTCTCTTCTCCCCCATCCTCCCTTACTCCGTGTATCTTATTCCTGATGTGTGCATTCACTCAGTAGAGCTCACAATGAGGAAAGCCATGTGCCCCAGAGGAAATGTGCCCCATTGCATGTGGATATATAGATTGCCCCCCAAACGGTGGGGATCACATGGACACTCAGTAGTTTTTGTCTTATTTCTAGGCAAAACAACTTTGCTCATGGCTTAGATCAACAGCTACCAGATGGTCTTGTGGTGGCCACTGTCCCACTGGAGAATCAGTGCCTGGAAGAAGTCTCAGAGCCCACCCCTGACCCTGACTTCCTCACTGGTGAGTACGCCTTCTCTTAAACTGTAAAGACAGGCAACTGTTTATGGTTTCATACAATAAAAACTCTTGATCTTGCTTACTTCAGTTTCTAAACAGTGATCTTTTTGATACATAATAAATGTTTAGTTATAACACTGAATATCATTAGGCATATTTGTCAGTACAATTGTCCACATTATCATGTAATTACCTGCAGAATGGTGGTCATAATGTGTTCCTTGCCAGTTTCCCAGATTTGCTCTGAAAACAAAGAGATAATAGTTGTTTAAGAGTGCAGAGCTTTGATGGGGTTAGAGGATGTAATCAGGTCATGGAGGCAGAGATTGCTATTGTCCCCTAAGTGTCTGTGATGGCTTTTGACAGTTTTTCTGAGAAGTATGAATGGAGCCATATGAGGGAAGAGGAAATGGTAGAGTGTTGTTGTCCAATGACCCTGGCTCTGCCACTTCCTAACTGTGTGAGATTAGGCAGTAGAATCTAGGGACCCAAGCTGCTCGTGGTAAGAGGAGGATGTGAAGGCCTGCCCATCTACAGTGCTTAGAGAAGCCCAGGGGCCGCAAGCACTTTAGGGTTACTTTTTTCTGGGCCTCTGAAGACTGCCAGTTAGTATTTCCTGGGACAAAGAAGATACTTTAAGAGTCTTCCTGTGTTTGTGTAAGAACTTGTAATGGTAGTCAGGGCAGGTTCTAAGTCACTAGTAAACTACTTGGCCTTACCAGTGCATCTCTCCCACACTTTCCAACTTCAGTCACCAAGCGAGAAGAACACCCACTGCCACTGGGGATGCTACCTGCAGCCTTCCAGGAAGAAGGAGTGGATAGATAGGCGCAACATCAAAAGAACATGTGTTTGAATGTATATCTTTGGGAATACATGGAAGATACAAACTTAGTCTTCATCCAAAACAGATTTTTCTTTCTCCCTTGCATCCGGGTATCTAATTTGATTTATTGGTGAAAAAAAGAAAATACGAAGAAAAAAATAGGAAGATAACTAGGTGGGAACTTTTATTTTTTATGGTTCCAAGGCAGTGAAGAATAAAATTCCTACAGGTGTACAGGGAATTTTTCCTGCTCAGGCTACTTTTCTACCAAGCCTTTGCTTTTAGCCTATTTTGATGAAAAAGTGGCACCAGTTGGGTTAAGAGTACTGTGTATATGGCCTTTGATGTAAACAAGGAATGAAATTTATTTTTAAAGTTCAGGATGACTAGAGAGATTCAATGAAAGGATGACTGACCAGATTTCTTCCACATTATCTCTCAAGTGCAGGCAATATTTTATTTCATTTTCTTAATTAATTAATTAATTAATTTTGGTACCAGGAATCTAACTCAGGACCTCACACTTTCCACACAAGTGCGACACCACTGATCTAAATCCCCGGTCATACAACATTTTATTTGTAACTTTCCTGAGGGATAGAGTGACTCCTGTGTCATGTCACAGTCTGTGTATTGTAGGTCACAATGCCCATAAACCCACAAGCTGAGAGAATTTTAGAGCTAAAGTGATCTTCAGAATCTTCTATATCAGCATCTTGAAGCAAGTTATTTTTTTTTTTTTTGTCGTGATAAGCCAGAGTTCCATTCTAAATGAGTTTCGCCTTCAAATCAGCAATTTATATCACCTTAGTTTTAGAAAAAGATCCAAGAAGCCTACAGGAAGACTAAAAAACAAAACAAAACAAAACAAAAATGGAAACCAAATCCCTTTCACTTTATTTAGCCCCTCAATTCCTAAACCTACTTAAGAAGAGACTCCTTTTCAAATACAGTGTCTATTTCCATGTGACAGAATTATTAGTTAAAGAACACAACGGAAAATATGGGCTTAACTTATGCCTTTGTTGCTTCAGCAAAATACTAGTTGAGAACCCTGAGCTTAGTAGGCCTCTTTGTTGTTGGAGGTTGTGTGAAGATAAGTAAGACCCAACAAAATTAGAGCAGGCAGAGGCTACTCATTCTTAGCTCTAACAAGGAGCACGGTGGTCATCACATATGATTTGGCAAAGAATGAAAGACAGGCCAAGGACTGGGAAAGCTTGTTATGGAAATCAGAGAAGTGGGGACATGGGGTAAGCTCAGGGGGGCTGTTTACCGTTGACCAGGGTACACATTTGGCTCTCTCTGCTTGGTCTTACTTAGGCAGTGAGAACAAAATTTAGAGAAATGGTTGTTAACAAAGCCTGGTTGTTTGGATTGAGTTGCTAAAATGGTTACTGTTTGGCTTCATGGGCTGTGTGGGAGAAGTAGTGATCTGACTCTTGGCAACCCTGACCAGTGGACAGTGTGCTGGGCAGCCCCCCGTGCTCCTGCTGGAGGCTGTGGGGCAGAGTTCTGGTATGCATGTCCTGTTTCATCGTTTCCTATATTCAGTCTTTCATTTAACAAGAAGAAGGAAGTCCAGCGATGGACAAAGGAGTTAGAGGTGGCTACTGGGCCTACCTATAGATCTGTTGGTATGGTAGGCACTAAATCTATTTGAAGATTACAGCCTCTGAGCTTTTCGAAACTACTTGAGTCCATTCAAATGAAGCACATTCTTGGCTTTCGAGTTTTGGGGTAAGATATATCTCTTGCATTACAAATCAAAAAAGATGAAACTCATTTTCTTCTTTATTTCCTTTCCTTTCCTTCCTCTCTTCTTCTCCTCCCTCCCTGCCTTCCTGTGTTTCTCCTACCCTCCCTCCCTCCCTTCCTTCCTTTCCTTTTTCCCCTTGAAGATTGCAGAGATCTGGGCAGTAATTCTTTCTCAAACACAGGTAGAAAAACAAATAATGCTCTTTGTAGAGAAAACATAGTCTGAGATATTCTTTTTCTTTAAAAAGAGAACCATTTGGCAGAAATGTGTCTCAAAATGATAATAAGATGAAATATAATAAAACAAAGCAAAATAAGATACTAAACCTGACTATGAGTCTAGGGCATAGTGAGAAAGAATCATATGACTCAGCTAGAAAATATATACTCTAAAATAGCCCATTTTTAGCTAATGGAAATACTATCTGCAAGTAGGCACAGAAAAACATTTCCCGGGCATTAACAGTTATATAACTGTTTCCCTGACTATAGTGTAACTTAAGTGCATCCAACAGATGGTTGTTCAGTGGCTAAGTGATGGTGTTCACTTGTCTGCCTCATCCTCAGTGCACCTGGGGCACTGTCATTCCTACCCCATGCCTATTCCTTTACTTTTTCTTTTCTCTGTTGTTCTGAACTGAAGCTTAGGAAGTTATAACAAAAGCATCAGTTAAGAGATGTGAAGTTTACACAGTTAAGTGTGATAAAAGCGGAGAAGGAGGAGGAGGATCAGGTGGAAGTAGATGACCACAGTGAGGCCTTGCACGTGCAGAATGCCTTATTTTTTTCCCCTTAGATCATGTTTATGGTCTTAAATTCATTCTGTTCTCCAACCTATCTATAAAGTAAGGAGAGTGAATACCATTACTCTCTTTTTTAGATATGAGAACTGAGACAAATGAGTCGCCTAGCCCAAAGTCACATAGCTGGTGGGGATCCGAGCTTTGTAATGGAAGCGAGGGATCATTTCAGAGAAGTGGTTTGCTTTGTAGATGAAACAACTGAAAATCAAAAATGGACACACCTTGAGACTGTAATGTTAAGTGAAATAAATCAGACACCTGGGCTTAAATAGCACATAGTTTCTCTTAGGAGAAACCCAAATTACAAAGAGCAAAATAAAAGCTAGACTATAGGATGCAGGGAGAGAGATCTTTCTCAGATGGGAAGGGGCTCAAGGGATGGAAGGACCTGGTGAGATGGGAGGGAGGGGAGTGTACTAAGAAATGAATATGTGTTACCTACAGTCCAGCTCCACTCACTGGATGCAAGCATTATGCACTGCAAACAGCTACTAACGCAACACATGACAAGACATTCCCAGCCACGTAGCCAGGGAGAGGATACTCGGGAGGTGAGAACAGGAGGTAATGGATGTCAGAGCGACTGGAATCTGAAACCGCTCTCTATGGCAGCCCTGCTGGCCCCAAGACTCTGGATTCTTTATTTCTTCCCAATTTCTTTGTCCCCTAAAAAATTCAACTAAAGGGAGCTTTGAACATTGAAATTCTTTTTTTATTTGACTCACTATATTTAATAAATTGGCCTTTTGAAATAGCAACCAAAAAAAAAAAAAAGAAAAGAAAGAAAGAAAGAAAGAAAGAAAGAGCAACCAAGTTGCTAATGTGCTGACATACGAGAAAAGGGTTCTGAGTACCATACACATTTTAGGTTCTGATGACGTATGCCTTTAAGGTATAAGACTGAAGCCTTCAACTGAGGAAGTTAGAATTTCTTGTGTCTGCTTTGAAGCTAACACACAGGGTAAAAGCCAACGTGTACAGTAGCATGATTGTCATCACAAAGCTTAATGCTTTGGAAGAAGAATATTTAAAAGAAAAGAAAAAGTACTGAAAACCTCTTAGTTTTAGATACCTTGTCTTTGATTACTTAAGATAAAATGTAAGCAGTTGATTCATTAAGCACTTATCCTGACCTTTTTTTCTTTCTGTCTTACCAATAATTATTCCCTTATGATTCATACACAATGGAAATTTGGTAATTACTCGCCTAATTTGATCAAAGTTGACAAGCACCTAATTAATCCTGCCTATTTTTCATTCAGTTTAGGTATTAAATTAGTTGATTTAAGTTAAAGGAAGCTTGAGATAAAATGACAGAAGATATATATATATATGCTATTGCATTTGTAGACAAAACATTATATATTGTATGATATATATTTGCCTATTGTATATAGCTATTTTATAACCTTTATATTTACACATTTATACATAAAAACTCATTTATACATGAATAAATTTCATGTTTACCAAGTATTCAGCATAGAAACTAAGCTAAAATTAATTTCCTAAATTTAGAAGCCAGTTTTAAATTTCCTATGACCTAAGTCCTAATTGTTTTGTTTCCCCAGGCTTTTCTGTTTATAGGAATGGCTAGAATTCAGACAGGGTGTCACTCTTTCTACAGGGAAGAGCAGCCCACTGTCACAGCTGGACAAGGCTCCATAAGATGTTTATTGCAAACTGCCAAGACAACTACTTCAGCTTCATAGAGTCCTAGTTGTTCCATCAGCAAGAGGGACACCACAAGTGCCTGTCATGTTACCTGGCACGGAGTTGACCCTTGATATTTGGCCAATACTGCCTGCTAAAATGTTGTAGTCACCCTGACACTGTCCCTTCTCGTAAAGAAGAAATAAGCTTTATCAGCTTCAGAGTAATTAAAACTTAAATACCAAACACAAATCAGTTAAATGAGACAGAAAAATCAATGTTATCAGATACGCGAGCTGAGTCAATTACTGCAACTATTAAAGAGAGTAAAAATCTGCTGTATTACAGTAAGCCTGGAGTTTAATATAAATTTATTAGGGGGACATTACAGTAGCATGAATAAGGACCCTGGCTCTGGGCTCAGGCGCATCTAGGTCTTTATCGTGCCCTACCTACTTTCTTAGGGACCTAATATAAACAGCCTCTCTGAGCCACAGAATCCTCATTTATAGAATGCAAATAATAACAATGCTCTCAGATAGATGAAAAAGCTCAATATATGCAAAGCACTTGGCAAAATGCTTGGCACAGAATAAATGTTCAATAAAGGATAGCTGTCCTTTCTATGATTCTAGAAATTCTCTTCATCAAAGAGTACCTCATCATTTTCTCACAATTATAATCCTTCATCTCACTGAGGGTTGTGTTTTTGGACTTGGGAATTGTGCATCAGTGTCGTGCACTGACCCCGTGCCTCCTCTCTCCCCAGGGATGGTGAACTTCAGTGAGGTGTCTGGATACCCCGTGCTGCAGCACTGGAAGGTGCAGTCTGTGATGTACCACATCAAGCTCAACCAGGCAGCTGTCTCTCAGGGTGAGCACTGCAGTGAGAATTCCCCAACCCATGCCAATGGCTTGGAATTTCTCCCAAGGGAATTTCTCTGTTTGGTCCCAGTACTGAAGATGTAGCCGCCTCCATGGAATACAGGGTCTCTTTACTCAAATGCACTCTTAAGGCAAATGGCATTTAACAATGCATCCTTTTCTATGCATAGATAAAATTGCAAGTATTATCTCAAGCTGTAAAAGATAGAGTAGACAAAACTGAAACCAATCACATCTGCAAAAAGCTCCTGGAGGTGTTTATTGAGAGATGCTTGGACAACTGATTTAGCTTTATTCTGGGGTCACCTAGTGGGTGGGAAGAATTTTTCAAAAGCAGGCTTTTCACTTGAGAAAATAAAGCACTCAAAATGCAAAGAATAAAATATAGAGATTCCATATAATAGCATAAGAGAAAGTCAGTAAGAAGGGTGACAGAAAAAAATAGAAAATAACAGACAGCTTAATTTTTTTAAACAGTAAGTAGTACAATAAACAGATAAATTGAGATATAGAGCAACAGAGATAGTATAGTAAATAACTGTATAGAATACAATAACATTTACATATTAATGTGCATGTATACACACATAGAAAAAATACATGCATATCATTGCCAGTAAGTGAAGGAATATTGAGTTCTAAACTTATTACTTAAGGTGTTGGGTCAGCAACCAGGAAGTGGAATCTTAGGGCCAATGGGAGAAAGATAAAGGGACGATGATAACTGTCTTACAAGAAGTGAAACATAGTCACAGAAAGCATGAGTAGAGCAAGATAATGCGCTAAGGGTATAGAACATATCTATAGGGCACAAAGGGTTGCTGGCCAGAAGGTGTTAGGGGATGAGGCCCTTAGTAAGCAAACTCTGTAGGTATAGAACATCTAGAAGGAACTAAACTGCTCTTCATTCTGGGAAAACATAGGAGTAGAAGCTTTACACCACTCACATACTCAGATGCAGTTGAGTATTTTTGTTCTCTATTCAATCATGCAACAAAAGTCAACATAATCAAGTAACAAGTGAAGTGATTTCGGCCCTTGAGGTCTCCTGCTAGGGCTGGGCAGCACTTAGCCCTAGTAGGATCCAAGAACTTAGGTGGAAACAAAGGCTGCATGGACCTGTCCAGATTCAGCAGGTATCACATTTGGAAAGTTTACTATAGGCTAATATGAGCACAGACCTCTTAAAGAAAAGCAGAAAATCCAAGAGATTTGGCTGGGGAAGAGGGTGATCGAGTAAATAAGGTTTTTCTTCTATTTGTCATTTCCTAATCCTCTTACTTTCAATTTTCTGAAATAGGATGTAAGTAATGTATTAATAACTTGTCTTAACTTTCCTTTTCCTTTATTGTTCCCTTACCCACTTATATGTCTAAGAACAGCATTTTGCAAATTTTGTGGCAATTACCCATGTTAGAACATTGTTGTGTCATGACATTGTGTTTTGTGTACACACATGCACATCTATACCAAACGTTTCATGAAACAGTATTTCATCTTACAATGTGAAATGTCCCATGCTAGTGTTTGTGTTTCCATTTTAGGTTATGCCATTTTCTTTCTTTGAAAATATGCTGTTGTTTGAACTGACTAAATTGATTTAATGCCATGACCCATGGTTAAGGGGGAAAAACTTATGTACCTTAGTGGCATGGGAGTAGAGCTTTGGAAATGTTCTGCTTAATTGGCACAAAGCTAATAACACAACCAACTGGCTTGGAGAGGTCAGATTTGGTTACATGGAAAGTCACCTGACAGCCTTAGCCAGCTACACTTTCACACCTACACCTGAAGTGACTGGGGATTCATAAGTGTGAGTCTTCACTCTTACTTACTCTTGGGTGGCATTCCTCCATAGCTTTTGGCAACGCTCTTCACTCTCTGGATGGGGCTACGTCACGTGCAGATTTTGTGGCCTTATTGGATCAGTTTGGCAATCATTACATCCAGGAAGCTATCTATGGCTTTGAAGAATCCTGTTCTATCTGGTACCCAAACAAGCAAGTCCAGCGGCGACTCTGGATAGAATATGAAGATATCAGTAAAGGTGAGTGGTGTGACCAGCCCCAAATTCTACTCCCTATTGAGGTAACAGCTGCTCATGTGTAATCCATAGAACCAAGCTTAAGGAGTCACTATGGAAAAGAGGGCTTTACATTTTCCTTCAATGATGTGTGCCTAGTTTTATTTTATTTTTATTCTTTAATGTATTTGGTTGTTACAGTGTCTCACGGTGTAGCTCGGACTCATAGTGATTTTCCTATTTTCAGCCTCCCCCCTCCCCACCAGTGCTGGGATTAGAGGCATGCACCACCACATCTAGACTTAGTGGCCAACTCAGCGTGCCCTGGCTGGTGTGGCATGTGGTGCCTGGGATCGAACCGCAGTCCTTATACTTGCCTCAGCTTGCCTAAATAGGTGCTTTAGTCTGCTGAGCTGTCTTGCCTGCCCTGTGTGCCCAGTTTTAAAATTTCCAAGGTTTGGTAGCCAAAGTCAAATCTCAAAATGAGGAAGTTGGAATTTTAGGTGCAGGATGATGTCAAAACTATATGGCCATTGTGTTAATTAACATACAGAGAATCCACTTTTTAAAACAACTATTATTCCTTCAACTATTGCCTTAAAGGCAAGGTATTAGACCGCTGCCCATGGCTATGAGGGAAAGAAGAGGATATCCCAGTCTTTTCTACAACTTATTGTCTCCAACAACCCCATTACTCTGCACCCTTACAGAGATGTGGTAAACCCCACCTCACTTCGTCCTGCCCTAGCCCAGTTTTTCTACTGATCTGTGTCATGAGGAAGTTTTTGCTGGCCTATGTTTTCATAGCTCTGTGTGAAAGCCTCACAGATAAATGATAAATTCTCATCTGCCATATTGACAACAAGTTAATATTCATTCCAAGTCAATATTAAGGAATTAGAATTTTAAAATCTTCTGCATATACCATCTGGTACAGAAGGCACAGAAGACTACTAGCTAATGGATTTGTAGTCTGATCAGCCATGGCTGCTTCCCAGTTGCCATTCATGGAGCTTCCCCTGAGGTTAGAAGTGTCACTTTCTGATGAGGCCGAGTTACATAACGTGTGCATTGCTAAGGGGCAAGTGATGAATGAGCACAATGAAATTCAAGACATGAATCATTTTAAGACTCAACAGCAGAGGCTCCTCTGAGATAAGGGATACTGTGCTGTCAGTTTTGTTTCTAAGAGGGGCACATCTGCCTCAGTGGCTAAGATGCTTTGGGTTGTGTAACCCCCGTACAATTTCCTGCTTTGCCTTGCTCAAGAGGTGGTGGGGCATACTAGCTTCTCTCCGGGTTGGTCCCTATCTTCCAGGAGCAAAACTTGTGCTCCTAGGCTACAGTTGCAGCAGACATTTCTACCTAAGCTTGATTTTTCTAAATTCAAAGTCAGAGCCACAGGCTTCTGGCATCCCTTCAAACTTCATGATCTTAACCTCATTCTCATTCCAATTTGCCAAGAGAGCAATGCAATGTAAGTAAATGTCGATAAAATCAGTTTCAAACAGTGCAGCTTTCTGATATTTCCATGCCAGAGCTGGTGGACTGAACCAAAACTCTGAATCTTGCACTATTTTTGTCCGCCAGTGATTCAGGGATTGCCAGAGCCTGGGATTCCTGGAAACAGAAAGCCTTGTATTACTCAGAGGTCCTGGATCTATGCTCAGCTCTCACCCAAACACTGCTATATCCTGAGGGTCAAGAAAGTGGGACAGACTATCAAGGTCAGGGACAAATGTTCTGCCTGGAATCAAAGTCAGTGGTCCTCATATTGTGCCTTATTGCCTTTTTCTCAAGCCCCTCTCATCAGTTTGAAACTAGTTTGCCACAGTCCTACCATTGACAACTTTTAGGAGACAAGATTCATATAACTCTTTGATTATTATTGATCTTACAAAGATACTAGGACATCTTAGTATGTTTACTGTGGTTATATCTGACTGATGAAAACCCAGAGATGGGTGTCTGTTGTCCACACTGACCACCCTCTATGCCTGAGCCTTACTTCTACGTAATGAGGTTCATGTCTTTTGCTGTTTGGCTTAATTTTTTTTTCTTTAAACTATTTTACTCCATTCTAAGCACTTTCCTTTTATTCCAATCCTTAGGCAAGGGGATGCTACTGATTAAAAATGATAAGCTCATAAGATGAAGGAAGAAGTTCTGCTATTCTCTACTCCGAGAGTTCTGGTTCCAAATTGGACTTTGTACCCCTGGGTGACAAGTGTCCTGAGAGGGCTATGTCTGTCATGGCATGCAAGTGACACTTCTTCCAGCAGGAGTAGTCCAATTATTTTTTTCTTTTCAGTTCTTACCTTAATATCCTCCTAACAAAAAGAATTTTTTAGACCTTTTAGGGTACTTTCGTACCTCTGACTGATTACCTAAAACTGCTTAGAAATTGAATAGGAAGAGAAGTTTCTCATGGTGAATGAAATGAAAAAAGCGCAAGACTTACCGATTGGAAACCTTGAGTAGAACAAATGATTTTACACTCTCCAGCTACTTCCCTAGACTTCGTGTAATGCCCTCCATCAGCCCCCAGCTCTGAGAGCTTATGGATCGTTATTCATACACTTTTAGATGAGAAATATTCTCAGGGCAAGCCTGTGGGATAAAAAGTAGCCTCCTCTATGTTAGTCCATTTTCTGTTATTGCAAGAAGGATCTGAGAAAATCAACTACAAAAGAGGAAGATTTTATTTTGGCTTATCATTCTGAAAATTTTAGCCGATGATTGGTTGGTTCCACTGTTTCAAGTCCCTGATGAGGCCACATCTCTCGGGGGTCACATGGTAGAGCGAAGTTGACTACTGCTTGGTGGTTGAGCAAAGAAGAAAACAAGAGGGGGCTGAGGTCCAAGTACCTTCTTCAAGTGCACACCCAGTGACTGGAAGCCACCTCATAGTCTCTCCCTCATAAAGGTTCTGTCACCTCCCCATGGCATGGAAACCAAGCCTTTAAGGTATTAGCTTTTGGGGGATACTTTTCCTAACTACACCATCTTCTTTATATAGCATCTCAAAATTCTCAAGCATAAGTTCCATGCTTATTCAACTTTAAATTCCCAAAGCCTAACACGGAGACAGGCATGTGGTGAGTGCTCAGCACTGTTGCTCTTTTGTCAGTGATGCCGGTGGTCACTGTGGTGAGGATCTTATGAAGGGGTGGCCTCTGTATTGCTTTCATTGTAGGCGTGCAACATGCTTTAATTGTACATGGTTGACAGAAACTCATTGGATGTTGTATTTGACCACCTTTCCAGAGACAGTCCTCTGTTCCACAGGTACACTATATTGTCAGGGTTTAAACAACTCTATGCTGTTCAGGGCTTAGTATCACCTATTTTAGATAACCCTGATGGAAGACAGTGGAAAACATATTTCCATTTCTAATTGTCTAAAACTAGCATTAATTACTTTTATAAATCCAGCAAACTGTTAGAAATGAGATTTTCCAACCTCCTCCATCCCCATGTTTAAACTCTCTCATCATGCTTTGCCCTCACACCTTAGAGAATATGGCATCCGTTCTCCTCAGGCCTCCCTCTACCGGAGCACTGCTCTCATCCCTCTGCTTCAGGGGAGCTCTCACTAGCTCCTTAGTCTCCCCTTTTGAAATCTTTAGAATCTCTTCAGCCACTGAATCACTATGAAGAACTGTGTCTTCCACAAGTTATTTTGTCTTCTAAAAAATCGCATTCTCCCAAAAATGTGACCTTTTAAACCATTGTTTCCTTTTCTTGCATTACTACAGGCTGTCTTTTCATAAGGCTTTTATTAGTGCATATGGGTAATTCTGATTAATGGATTTCATTTGTACGTGGGTGGAGACTTTGGTCCTTTTCACCCCCACATTACACTCTTTGTCTCCTGCCCTAACTTTACACTTTTGGGGGGTTCCATTCATACAATGTATTTTGATCATATCCATGCTGTCCCAGTGAATTTCCTTTAAAAATTTATGTCTATTTGTACATGTTTGTAGTATATAATAATTAGATTCATCCTGGGAAGTTAGTACATGTATATAACAGATTTTATTTCTCTTTACTTCCTCTTCCTCTGTTTCCACCTCCATCTCTTGGCCACCATACTGTTAGCAAAATATCTACCTCTCTGTTTCCTGTCACTTATCTTTTATTTTGCTTTTAAATTCATTTGTACTTGTGGTTTCTTATCTAAGAGAAAGCATGTGATATTTGGTTTGTGCATCTGATTTATTTAACTTAACATTGTGATCTCAACGTGCATCCGTTTTTTTACAAATGACTCAAAAGAGTAGTTTATGCATCTGAACTTCCTGAGTTCCACTCTTCCAATTATTGCCTTCTTTTACTCCTTTTGCAGAAAAAACACTCAAAAAGGAAATTAAAGATTTATTAATGACAGAGTCACTTATATCTATTCAGTGACCATTCTACCTTTTTATCAAAGTAATTATTCCCTCTTGACTAGTCCTTTCCCTCGGATGTCCTTAATGCTATTTCATTCAGAATCTCTGCTTTTTTTGTACCAGGGATAGAACTCATGACTTTCAGCTTACCAGGCAGGTGCTTATGCTGTTGAGCTATCTCCTTAAACCCTAGAATTTCTCTATAAGTCTTTGGTTTTTCTCATTATTTTTTGTCTTTATTCCTAAAAAGAAATTATTTATGAAGAGAGTTTCAGAGCTTTCATTGTTAATATTTCTTTCTTCTTTCCCATTGTTGGGTGCTTCTTTTTCTTTTTCTTTTTTTTTTTTTTTTTTTTTTTTGGCAGAATCGGGGATTGAATCAGGCCCTTGCGCTTGCCAGGCAAGCGCTTATTCTACTTATCTCCCCAGCCCCAGTTGGGTGCTTCTTCTCTGTATCTACTTCAACCTGCACATCCCTTGGACTCAAAGCTTCTTTGCCTTTGAATGGTTAGGATTTTTATTTGGACATTCTATAGGCACCGTGATGATCAACATTCCTTTCTCTTCCCAGCATCCACTAGTAGATTTATAAACTGCACTGATGGGTTAAGATGTAAAAGAAAGAGC